GAGAGAGAGAGAGAGAGAGAGAGAGAGAGAGAGAGAGAGAGAGAGAGAGAGAGAGAGAGAGAGAGTTTTCCAGCCATGGACGCAGAGATATAGAGAGAGGCTACTTCCATCGGTAGGATGAACAAAATTGGAATGAATCTTCCGCTAGAACATGGAAATATACACTGCTTTCCAGCCATGCTACTTCCATGGATACGATGAGCAAAATCGGAATGAATCTTCCGCTAGAACATCGAAATATACACTGCCACTTTTTTTTGGTGTTGCCTTTCTCCGTCTTCCTCCTCCCTCCTCCTGTGTCGATCCTCCCTCGTCCCTCACACCTTTCGATCGCCGCCCTTTTCCATATCGACGCGCCCCCCCGTCCGCCTCCAAGGATTGGCTGGAAATGGAACTGAACCGGGGGGTTGAAAGAAAAACCCCGGCGGCGGGACATGGGAAGAAAAACCACGGCGGAACCTGGGGGGGGGGGGGGAATTGCGCCGGCGGGAGACCGTTTTTCTCCTTGGCCCACGCGGGCACCTCACTCTGACCGCTTTTTGGGCCTGCCGCGCGGCACCGATTTTCCCTGGGCCCGCTGGAAAGCGTTATGTCGAGCCCTTCGCAGTTTTCAAGAGTATAGAGATAGAGATATGGTGAGGGCATACTCAAGCTACGGTCTTCACCCAAACAGAATGCCCCGTCATTATCGCTGTATCTAGACTGAAATTGCCTCAAATACAGCTATAACAATCAGGTGTTCTATTCGGGTGAAAACGGTAGTCTATGACTTCTCCGAACGATCTTTAAACCTAATAATTATTATGGTCGTACACATCCTGCTCCGGCAGCGATTGCGATCAGAAACATCCAGGAATGTGTCTATGTGAGTATATGCCCTCAGTTGCCAAGATCCTTGGTCTGGCTCCACCGCATTACCTTCATTTTTTTCATGTATGAGGACAGTATAGTGGATCAGGACCCGGAATACATCCAGACTAGTGTCAGGTCCCAATGCATTGGGAACTTCCCTTGTGAAGCCTATCCTTTTTTCCTTCTTATTTTTTAATTGGGAGGATCTGGGTACTCGGCAAGCGTAAGGGGCCCTGATACAGATGTGCCCGCCCTAAGTGAAGGCGGGCCTCACAAATCTCGAGAGGCCCATTGCTGCCAATTTCGTATTTGGGGTCCAGGCAGTTGGGACGCGCCAGTTGGTTGAGGGAGACACAGGCCCGAGCAGCGTGGATATTCCACGGCCTTCCAGGCCTTTTTGGAAATGCAGGCCCTGGGCCAGAATCGCAGCATCATACACAGACAGTTGGGAGGCCCAGCAGCTGCAACAGACGCACATCCTCCTGGGGCCTACCGGAAGGTTTTGGGCACAGGCCCAGCCCAGCCAGGCCGCCGGGGCAGGCAGACTCTTTCCATATAGGAAAGAGCTCGCTGCCTGGAGGCGCATTCAGGCACTTGCTGGCTGCTGGCGCTGGAGCAAGGTGTTGTGCACGTGCGGTCGTGTGGTGAAGCAGGGCGCTACTGAGGGCAGCGCCATAGCCCAGCCTCCATAGCTGGCTGGGGCTTGGACACTGTGTGCATCTCAGATCATCATCAGCATGATGGGAGAGATGCTGCAACGGGATGCGGCGAAAATTGGGGCTGACAACAACAACAACAACAACAACAACAACAATGACGATGCCGGCAGCGACGACCATGGCAACAGCAACAACAACTACAACAATAACAACGACGACAGCGGGAGCGACGTCCACGGCAGCAGCAGGGTTGAGAGAGGTGTCCGGGCATCTCAGATCATCATCACAATGATGGGAGAGATGCCGCAAGCGGACGTGGTGGGGATTGGGGATGCCAACAACAACAACAACAACGATGATGGCGGCAGCGACGACGGCGGCGGCAGCAACGACCACGGCAGCAGCGGGGAAGAGAGCATCAGCATGATGGGAGAGTTGCCGCATGCTGACGTGGTGGGGATTGGGTTTGACACGGATTAGAGGCTTACCATCTCCCCCCTCTTCCCCCCTCTTCAACCCCGTTGTCTGGCTGAGGATAGGAGTAGGATAGTCGATGTTGATTGGTGTTGCCCGGCCAGCAATATCAATCAAGAACGAGGTGCTGATCGCCCCGTGGGATGGAGGTGGGCTGGTAAGGGACTAGTATGCAGGTGGTCAATCCTTCCCTTGCGCAGGGAAGTAATCAATGCCCCTGCTCTCTTCGGACAATGGGTAATGGAAGCTGCACTCACCGTCCAGATCAGACAGATTACATCATTGATAAGGATCACACACATCATCATCTCTTTGTTAGGGTTTTGGGTTATTGCATAAAGGACGCTGGACTCGACGTCCAGATCACACATATTACATCACTGAAAGAGATTCGTCCTTAGTCTTGATTGATAAAGATCATACACGTCACATCATTGTTAGGGTTTCGTGTTTAGATTTTGATACATACAAAACACATACATCACATACAGCACACATACATCACACATGCATCACATCTTTGTTAGGGTTTCGTGGATTGTTGTACATATATAAAGATACTGTAGATCAGATGGATGGGGTCTCCCATCTTCTGTCATATATTGCTTAACGTGCATACATAGGTAGATGGAGCTGTCAACACATCTCTGCATAGGGACACTGGACCCGATTTCCAGCAGATGCATTCACATCACTGTACAGGGACGCTGGACCCAATTTCCAGCAGATACAATCTCATCATTGTACAGGGACGCTGGACCCGATTTCCAGCAGGTGTAGCTCCCCACCAATAGATGGAGCCTTCGACACCGGGACCTACTTACCGGGGATGCTCTTATCACCTCGTTAAGTAGGTTTCCCATATACGAAGTTTAATATTAAAAAAAAAAACAAAAAAAAAAACAGGTAAATCAAGAGCTGGGATTGAGGATGACACCGAGAAGAAAATCAAGCTCACACTTCGGTTGTGGATTGAATACGCATATTAGGACGGGTTGCTTTGAATGCTTGTTGCCTTATTAAAGGCCACGAGTCCAACATAGGAGTTCAAATACAGTGGATATGTGACTAGGAATCTTACATTCTTATCGTAACGAATGCGGATTCTGTGTGTTCATGGTTCAACGTCAGTTTTTATAGGGATAGTTGGATATGCACTGTCTGGCTGGCCATTAGAGTACTTGCCATCCTTTGAATCTCTCTGTCTCTCTCTCTCTCTCTCTCTCTCTCTCTCTCTCTCTCTCTCTCTCTCTGTATATATATATATATATATATATATATATCTATTGCAGCGTGTGGATCCCTCTGCAGCCCGTCGATATGTTTTCACTTATCCGTTCATTGATGATGTGCTTACCTTTGATTGTCTGCCACCATCGCCAGCCTATTATGGTCTTGAATGGAAAGAGACCACTGCGGCTGATGGCTCGTGCACCTTTTTAGGTGCAAAACTGCAGACACAGGTTGACGGATCTCTCCGATTGAGTGTGTTTGATAAGACTGTTGCATGGGATTTTCCTGTTATACGATATCTTAGTGCAACGTCGAACATTCCATCTCATTAACCTGCAGGTGTGTTCACCGGTCAGCTTACATGGTTTGAGCAGATTTGTGACAATGGGCGTGATTTCAGAACTGTGGCAACCATGCTTGTCCGCCGTTTGCTTTTTCGTGGCCATGCTCCATCCACATTAGCCCATGGATGAACTTGTTACATTCGTGCTCGCCAACGACAACACCCTGTACATGTAACTCGTCTTACACAGTGGTTTCGAC